TATACTGTGTTCTCTTTTTTCCTCTAATTTTTTTTTTTTTTTTTTGTCACAAAACTAAGTTTATTCAAGTTAAAGTACTGTCATTCTGAGATTGTCCTCCTTATGAAATGATGGTGTCTTAGGCTGGGTTCTCTAGAGAAGCAAAACCAGTAAAGCATATACATAAATTTATATAGAGAGATTTATATAAAAGAAATGGCTTGTGTGGTTGTAGAGGCTGGAACGTCCCAAATCCATGGGTCAGGCTGGAGGCTTCTCCTGAGTCACATAGCCACAGGGGCTGGTGAACCCAGGGTCAGCAGGTCAGACAGCAGGGCTCTTGCTCACAGACTGCAAAGACCAATGAATCCCAAGATCAGCAGGCAAGACAGCAGGTAAGCTGCTAGCTCAAGTTCCAAGAACCAGAGGTCAGATGAATAGGAGCTAGCTGCGACATCCAGAGAGAGCAAAAGGTTCCCATTTGACAATTTCTATACCAGTTGTTCAATGACATTAGTTACATTTTTCACAATGTGTTAACATTCCCTTTAATTTTGTTCTGGTTGTTCCGTTTCCAGTACTCTATAGTTTCCCTGCCCCCTTATCTTCTCATCTTTGCTTTAGAGTAAATGTTGACCTTTTAGTCTCTTACAGATTTTTAGCAGAGCACTGTACTTACGGATAATATCTTTTATATTGTGTGCCACTCTGTTATTTCGCTAAAAGATGATCTTGACATAGTCTCAGTTCAAGGTTTAAAGAGTATCTCAGGGCGATAGTCTCAGGGAGTCCTCTGGTTTCTGCTGGTCCACTAAGTCTGAACTTTTCAAGGATTTGAGTTCTGTTCTGCATTTTCCTTTCTTTCTATCAGGGTCCATCTGTTGTGGCCCTGATCAGAACACTAGTGATAGCCAGGCACCATCTAGTTCTTCTGGTTTCAGGGTAGATGAGGCCATGGCTCATGTAGGCTGTTAGCTTTGTAGACTAGTTTCTTCTCTGAGACTTTGGTTTCCTTCTTACTCTTTTGCTCCAAACAAGTAGAGACCAATAGTTGTATCTTAGATGGCTGCTTGCAAGCTTTTAAGTCCCCAGACGCTAAGCAGAACATGAACTTTGTGAACAATATTATGCCAATTGACTGAGTTGTCCCATGACACTGAGGTCCTAAGCCTTCAGATAAAGGTTTAATTTTTAACTATCACATGGATTATATTCTTTATATTTCTGTTGAACAGACTGAGGCAGGCTGGAACTGTTAGAAAATAATCTAAGATAGCATACCAACTAAAATCTCTTTTGCCAGGGTCACTAATTATCCTTTGTTACTAGACATAAAAGATAGTTTTCAATTCTTGACCTTGAAATATTAGCACCATCTTATTCCCTCTGCACCAGTTCTGTCTCTCAAGGACCCCTCTTTTCTTGGGTTTATACCTTGACTGTCTGTTCTTCTCACTCTCCTTAATCTCTTTGGATAGTCCTGTCTACTGTATGACTTCAGTTACCACCCATATGTTGTTGATTTCTCATATCTAAATTTCTAGTCTAAACCTTTTTCTTGAGCTCTAAGCAGTTGCAGTATTGGCTTCTAATATATCCATTAGGATGGCCCAAGGGCAGTCTGGATTCATAATATCTAAAGCAACTTTATATCTTTTCCTCACTAAAGAACAATTTCTTTTCCTCTTTATTTTGGTAAATAGTATTCTTGTCCAGTTGGTTGAGCCAGAATCTTTATATAGATGCCCATTAGTCAGAGACCCCCCAGGTACACACGTGTAGTTAACAAAGTTGGGTATGTTGATGCTTTCTGCATTAAGGAAGCCACACATGCTAGGGAATCATGGAGTGTCTGAGTAAGGTGTTGGATGGACTTCAAGAATCGGGGCCTCTGTTAGGTAATTTTGTGAGGATTCAGGGAAGTGATGGAAATTTCCTCTGAATTGGGTGCTGTCAAGAAGTGGGGTTACTTTTTGATTCAGTATCTTAAATCTTAGCTGGGAAGTGAGATGAAAGGGTGAGACTAAAACTGATGAAGAAGCACCGGCACTCATGTTCACTGGATTTTTTTGTGGTTTGCAGAGATCTTGTTTTTTCCGTCCTCACATGTGATTCCATAGTGGCTTGATTTTGCATCACACTGTGGTCACAGAAGACCTTATCTGATTTTGGTGATCTGTGAGATTTTTTATGTTCAACAGAAAAACACCGCAGCCTAACTCTGTGTTGGGCTACCTCCTCACTATGAGGAGCTGCTTTTCTCTTACCTATTTGGGATACACATAGAAAACTACGTAGCATTTGGACAGCAGGAAGATGGATGAAGAGTGTTTTAGACAGGATGTATGAACAACGAATTTACATGGCAATGACTTTCTACGTGAGGGGCAATGAAGAAACTCACTGTGTTTGGATTGTATCAGTAGGATCTGGTGTTAATGTTGAGGCAGAGATACCTTATTTGTTTATTCCTCACTCGGGGAAGGAGGCATGGTGATTAAGTTATGTATCAATCACATATGGGGCCTTTTAAAGCTAAGTAATGCTTAAGAGTGTGAGTTTAAGCACAATAGTTTGGGTTTGAAACTTTCCTCCCTCTACCTCTAGTATGGTAGTTGTATGATTTTGAGGGGGAGTTATATTTTTGAACCTCTGTCTACTACAGATTAAAAAAACTAGCAATAATAATGCCAACCTTAGAAGATTAGTAATGCCTGGCAGTTAGCAGGCACTCAATATACAATAGCTGCTGTTACCACTTTTCTTCCTTTTAGTGGCTATGTGTCTTTGGACAAATCACGAAACTCCTCAGAGCCTCAGTTCTACATTTACTTTACAGGATTCGTGTAAAGATCACAAAGTGTACATGGGAGCATTTTAGAAACAGAAGGCACTACACATAGAAAATAAACATCTAGTACATACGCTGTCAGGGAGCCTGGGTGGCATAAGCGGTTTGTGATCAGCTGCTAACCAAAAGGTGGCAGATTGAACCTACCCTGTGGCTCAACAGAAGAAAGTCTTGGTGATCTATTTCCATAGAGATTATAGCCAAGAAAACCCTACGGAACAGTTCTACTCTGTAACACGTGGGGTTCCATGAGGCTGACTTAATGGCAGCTGACAACCACAGCGATATAGTCTCTCAAATGTTTGAATTTACTTGACAAGTAAGAACTGTGCTTGGGTTAGGATGTCGTTGGGCCACATTATGCAAGGTCTTAAATGTTAGATTTTATGCCATAGACTTTAGAAACTCAGTTACCAGATAGACTTTAGAGCAGAGGGATGAGATGATAAAAACAGTGGCTTACTTCAGAAGCTTGGCGTGGGAGAGGGAGAACCTCAGGTTTCAAAGGCTAGAACTAGGAAACTGTTTCAGGCCAAGTGATGATGTCTAGGTTAGTGATATGACAGTAGATGTGAGGAATATAGAAATAAGAAAAATTAAGTTTTCTTGAACTTTAATTGTGAACATGGATTAGTTAAATTTGTTTAGACACGAATGGTTAGTAAGTTTGAGGAAATAGCCTTGTGACAATGCACAGTATCACCTGTTTTAGGTATTTCTTTGGCTTTTTCCATCATGTGGACCGAACTGTGTACTGTGCTAAAGGAAAGCCGTTGGGAGAGGAAAGGGTACAGGTTTGGGTGGTAGTTGTAAAGCAATTGCTTTAAGCTTAAAATAAGCACAAATATGCTAGAAATGTGATTAAAAACTGTTTTGCTGAAGTTACTTTGAAATGCATCAAAAAACAATAGATGGATAGATGTGATAATAATAGATGTGATAAATGTAGCAAAATGTAAATTGTAGAATCTAGATGAACACATGGGTGTTCACTCAAATTCTTTCGAACTTTTCTCTATACTTGAAGGTTTTATAATACATTTGGAGACGGTGGTGGTGTAAACTGTTGGCTAAAGACTTGTGTTGAGAACTTCACTTCCTTGACCGGAGACTTTTGTCTTCTCTGTAGGAACTTTCCGCTGTACTTTTTGTCAGACAGAGGTAGAAGAGGATGAATCAGCAATGCCCAAAAAAGATGCGCGTACACTTTTGGCAAGGTTTAATGAACAAATTGAGCCTATTTATGCACTGCTTCGGGAGACAGAGGATGTGAACTTGGCCTATGAAATACTTGAACCAGAACCCACAGAAATCCCAGCCCTGAAACAGAGGTGAGTGTAGGCTCTGTGGTCTTACTAAGAGCTCTTTAACTTCACTTTTGTTCTAACTACCTGTACTTTGGAGAGCAGGTGCCAGTAAATAATTTACCAGGTGACTAAAGCCTATACTGTTAACATAGGTTGTAAGCTCTACAATACTTGTCTTATTAACTTGTGCCTGTGATGAAGTTCATTTGTACTGAATGCAGAACAGTATGAGCCTTAGGAAAATCTTTAAATAGTCAAGTTGGACTTCACGTACTCACTTTTCTTGGGTCTGCTGCAACTCAGCTGATTGTTAGCTAATCCTAAATTGGTTAATGCCTCTTGGGGGTAGTTGAGTTTTTCTAGCCAACTTCTGAAGGCTGAAGTTCTTTAAGGAATATAGTTTTCTTCATTCTATTTTTTTGTTTCTGGAGTATTTTAACCACTCATTTCTTGCCTTTCTTAGGTGTAAATGCAACTTCCTCAAAATTGAAGTACATTAGTTGTTACCAATGGGTTAATACTTCTAGCTGTGGCTCCCTGTTTTCACCTGTGTACCCTAATTTTGAATTGCAGAGGCAGCCTTAGTTTTGCTGTGCCTTGAGAAGTGATTTATATTCCTTTTTGAAAGCATAAATGAGAATTGGGGTCAGGGATTTCTTTCCTGTGCTACCATTTGGTTTTTTTTTCCCTCTTCCCCAAGGTCAAGCTGAGGGCTTAGAGTTTATGGCCACCTACTCCCTTCCATAGAGCCCAAAGTCTAATTCAGGCTGTGCTTATATAGTTTTTAGGAGCACTCTTAGTATTTTATTTCCTCTGGTACTGATGCTGGAGCCCTGGTGGCACCAGTGGTAAGCGTTCGACTGCTAACCAAAAGTCGGCAGTTCGAATCCACCAGCCACTCCTTGAAAACCCAGTGGGGCAGTTCTGCTCTCTCCTGTAGGGTCTCTGTGAGTTGGAATTGACTCGATGACAATGAGTTTGGTTTTGGTTTGGTACTGATGCTACAGAATGGCCAGTTCTGGGCAGTTGAGCACATTTTCTTTTGGGTGTTTAAACAGTCCAGTTGTACAGCAGATTTTGTATCTGTACAAGCTATGAATTTTCTGGCCTGGCACCAAGTATTAGTTGGGTTGTTTTTTGCTGTGCATAACAGAGAAATCAGCTAGAGGCAGATTGAACAGTAAGAAAAACTTACCGTGGGCGGCCAGAAGTCCTGAGAAGCACCGTTCAGAATTGGTTAATTTCACAGCTAAATTATATTCTCAAGGATCTAGTTTTATTCATCTTTATTTGCTCCTGAATGTCTCCTCTTGGGACTATGAGGGGAGTTCGCCTGAGATGGCCATGTTTTTGTAGGCATCCCATGCAGATGATAATGTCCAAATACAGAAAAAGAGACCATGCTTACGTCCTATTTTAACTGAAGGAAGCTTTCCCAGAGGCCCTCCTTCATCCCACTCTTCTAACATCTCACTGGCCAAAAGTGCTTTATATGCTTATTTCTAAACCAGCCTCTGGCACAGAAAATGGCATCACATGATTAGTGCTTAGGCTAGTTAAGAGTCATTTCCTAGGGCTGGGGAATGATCTAGAGTCCTTTGGAGCAAATAGCCATCAGTATCCAAACAAAACTAGTCAGCAGAGAAGGGGAGGAGCCACAGCTGGTGGGCAACCAGTATCAGCTACATCACTGGAAGTCTTAAGTTTCATCACTGGAAGTCTTTTAAGTTTTTCTTACTGGTCATTTGGTCTTTTATCAATTTTTAAAAATCTTTTTCTGTCCATATAAGTTATACTATAGCTCTAATACAAAAGCCAGTGAGGGAAATAGATTTCATAAAAATGCAAAATATTCTAAGGGTTGCCATGAGTCAGAATCAACTTGGTGGAAACTGGTTTTATTTTTATTTTTGGTTTATGGTTTGATCCTTTCGTATTGAAATATGAATATATTCTATCTCTCTCATTGCTTTCTACACAGTGTAGTACTGTGTATGAATTATTCTTGTGTTTCCCCTTCTAACTATAATATTTGTCTTGTTTATTAAGATACTTCCCCACTACAGTAACATTCATTCACCACCTACCACAGTCCCCTCTCCATTCCAAGATCTTTCTTTAGATATCTCTTACCCCATGCTTAAGAGAAGTCTTAGTGGTACAGTGACACCAGAGGCCCAACAGCAGCTTACTGTATCAAGTCACCTGCTTCTCATCAGAATGATGGTGACTCCAGCAATTAGGAAGAATCAGGAGATAGAGGAAATAAACTGATCAGGAAAGAGGATTCCCAACAGTCTGGTGACTAAGGAAGAAAGGGGGAAATAGAGGCAGGAAAGGGAGACAGAATGGAGTACCTAGAGTTGTAATACAGAACAACTGGAGTTGTTTCCACCTGATCAGGGGAAAGACCATTGGAGCTAGGTTAGAAGATGTTACCCTGACTGAGATGGCTCCACAAAACATTGGACAAGCTCTATTGCCTGGATATAACATCCTAGAAGTGGTGTTGATTTAGACTTTCTGTACTATAGGATCTGTTTCAGACTATAAAAATTCATAACAGCCATTTGCACCCGAGGTACAAGAATGAATCATCAGTAGTGAGATATGGGAACTCAGGGATAATAGTATTCATTTATTTATTTATTTTTTTTTTAAATAAGTAACATCGGTGTTAGTTTGGTTACGGGATGTGTAACCAATTAAATTCTAGCTTGTCCTAGATCAGGAACCAGAAACTGCCTCTACAGAGCTTGTCAGTTGGCTTAACCCCAGAGTTGATGGATAGTTCCATCCTGTCATCACGGCAGCTCATTGGTGTTATCGGTGGTGTCACTAGGGGGATGCAGACCACACCGGGTGACACTGTCAGAAGGGATGACACCAGAATGACTGTTTGTAAAATTTTTGCGCAGTGTTTCAGCGTAAATTTATTATTTTTTATAAAAATACCTCTATAGTTAGTTATAACAACAAGAAATTTTTTGTAAACCAGCTTGCATATATCAATATACTTTCAAGGCTAAAACTCTATGCTAATTTACTTTTTGAACCTTCTGGTCAGAGCTGTCAGTATTACCCAGTTACAGTGATGCTTCAGATCACATGGTTTTGTCTGCACGTGCTACAAACATACGCTGTTGTTTTTGTTGCTGCCAGTGTTTTTATAGTTGCTGATTTTGTCAAATTTTCTGGTGCTTTAGGTACAGTATTGTGGTAATTAGTATTTGTGAGCCTATCAATAACTTTTCTGAGACTGAAGTAGTAATTTAAAGGAAAAAGAGAAAAATCAAAAAAGTCTTCCCCTCATTTGCTAATAATGTTGTAATTCGTTTTAGGAAGATTTAACAAAAACAATTTTGTTGTTAGTATTCATATAATCTAAGAAATATTAAATTTAAGCAATTTACAGCTATATTTATCACATATTATTCTATGATTAAAATTGATAATAAGCTTACATGTGTAACATTTATTGATTATATAACTCTGATAACTAAATAGAGAAATTGACCGTTTAAAACATGAAGTGGGGGAAATGCTGTTTCTTGATACATGTTTAGAAATGTAACTTAATCTTAAATTCAGTTTTGTTTAAATTTTAGTCTTTTAAAAATTTTCTTTAAAATCTTCGCTGTCTTACAAATATGTATTTTCAGGGTTTAAGGTTAAATCATGGTTTAAAAGAATAGTGACCCATTAAAAAGTTAGTTGGCAAAAGGCATTGAAGGCCAGGAGAGAAAAGTTCTGATTTAGTTGAGGTGTTCACTAAGTGCAGAAATGCTTGTAGATTTGTTCCTGATATTATTGTTTTTATGGTATTATTTCATTTATGAATATATTTCCATATGTATTTGTCTACAACTTCTGCATTATTTGGGCCTTTACTGATAATGCAGACCTAATCCATTAATGTATCGCATGTGATGGTAAAGTTTAATGTTAAAATGAACATAATTTTGATGTAGCTCTTAAACGTTTTACTTCGAATTTTATTGTTTTCTTACCGAATTTTCACTTTAACCATGTGAAACTATGTAAATGTAAATATATTTAGGCCGTGCATATGATTTTGTAATTTAAAGGTGTAATTTTAATTTTGCTTGTTGTTTGTGTCGCTACTATTGCCATTACATTCAGTGATATATAGGAATTACGATTTACGAGTAAACATTAGTACAAAAACATTCCTAAGGTTCTTTATGATCTGGTACGGGGGAAGGGGAGTGACACCACGAGTTACCGCACTGGCTGACACCAATCCTAGTGACACCACTGGGTAATATTTAAAGTCTTTCCATATTGCTTAAATAGAATTCCTTGCCGGTAACCTCTCCTTTTCATCATCTCTTATGTAACACTTACCTTAAAGACATTTAAGAATTTAGTTTTGAAATTGTCCTCCTTCCTTACCCCCGAGTAAGAGTTACATCTTTTAAAACTTAACAGTTCTGAAATGTCTTAAATAATGTGAAAAGATTCAAACCTGAATTGTCAGTTTTGTCATCTTCAAGTGAAATGTGTACATTCTCTTCATGGAAGAAAATTTAAATTTGTAGGAGTGAACCTAGTTGTCTTTCATCTAGATTTTCTCCAGTGCCACATTTGCTGGTGATTTAGATTTGTCTGTGTCTGTGGTGAAGGTAGAAATTAAATCTGTGCAGTCAATGCTCCATGGTTAAAAATATCTTTTTTAAAAGTTCTTCCAAATTTTAAAATTTGATTTATGGTCAAATTTCTCCTGCCTCAAACTAGAATAAAACCAATCTTGAGTTTCTGAAGGGAGTACTAAAAACAGACTTTTAAAATGTTGTCTCTTGCTAACATTTTAATTTTCCTGTTCTCTTTCTCTAGTCTTTTTGTTGTTCTTCTCTACTCAAGTACTGAATACTTGCTAAACTTCAGAAGATAGTCATCAGAGTCAACTCTAAAGATAGAACATAGATGAAAACCGTGTTGAGGATTATATAGTGAGAAACAGAGTAACCTCAGAAAGAGTGAATGAAACATTTAAGAGTCTGGATGAAGGACAGACAGATGAAGACAAGAATTTAGTTGGCCATATCAGAACTAGAGAAACATTGAGTTGGTGGAAAGAGACAGAAAAGGCATATGGCTAGCTCAGGAAGTCACATGAGGGGTAGACAGGCATATAGAGCAGACTCAGGATGACAAGACAAAAACATTGGCTGAGGATATAAGAGGCATTTAAAAGGTGTCAGGGAGACACAAATTGATGAGAGAGGAAAAAGTCAGATTGTAGCGTGAGCACAGCAAACACATAAGCACTCATCAGGCCAGGAGAGAAGAGAAGAGAAAGAAAAGTGAATGCTGAGGGAGACCTAAATTAAAAAAGCCAACCTACACCAGGATAAGCAGTCAGATTACAGTGAAGGCAGTGACACAGTCTTTTAGAAGGCAGCATGGAACAGGTAGCAGATAGCAATGACTAGGGACAGATATGGATTAAATTGAGAGAAACGTAAGTGGTGCAAAAAGTAACATCAGGTGAATGCATAAAGAAATAGAAGATAGAGAGCAGGTATTTGCAGTTGTAGCATCAGACTTTAAAGTATAGCAAGACAAACAGATTGGTTACAGAGAGAGATACCTCGTAGTTCTAGACTCAGAGTGGGAGAGCAGATAACTAGTACAGAGTGAGAGCAATGAGACAAATATGGAGGAGGCAAAAGAAGTGATTGAGATACGGAACAAATAGAACAGGCACCAGGAAGAAGTGGGAGAGAGTGGTTTACATAGAAATACAAAGTGGCACTGGGTACAGCTAGAGCAACACAAGAATGCAGAAGCAGTAACTGGCAGGCATGGCTTAAATGACCAAATTAGCCTGGCTTGAACAACTGGAGAGAGCATTTGTTGTGATAGCAAAAGTGGCAAGGGGCCTGTAGATATCCAGAGGCAGGACAAGAAGGATGTGGATAAGCCCAGGGTTACCTTCAGAGGGTGATCAAAAACAGGGAGAGATGTAGTAGGCTGATCATATACATGGGCAGATATACATCAGAGAAGCCTCAAGTAAGCAGTGAGACAGAATGCCCAACTAGATGATATGAAGTGGGCCCAGAAAGCAATGAAGAGTGATGGTATAAGCAGAAATGAAGTAGGGCCAGAGAGAAGCAAAAACAGTGAATGGCTTGTGAGAGAGAGAAGTGGTATATACGGCATAAACACAAGTGAAGAGATGTTGATTAGGTTCAAAACGAGACAGGGCTCCACAAAGGAGACCATCCAGCATCTGTGGAAAAGGTTTAGAGAAGAATGGAAGAGAAGTAAAGGAGAAACATGAGGCCAAAAGAGTTAGTCAGTGGACACTGAAAGGAACACAGCAAGAGGTATGAGAAAGATACAGAGCAGGCACAGAATGAGTGGGTAACTCAGGAAGTATGAAAATAGGTTATGGAATGGAACAAAGCTGTCCAAGCAGAGGAGTAGGGAGAGCCATGCATAGAAGTTGATGGAGAAAGCGTCAGTAGTAGGCAGAGAAAGACAAGGCGTGAGCTCAGACACACAGTGGATCAGTTGATTGAGAGTCAAGCAAGCAGATAAACACAGGGAGCAGCAGAAAGACTGACAACTTGGCTTAACTCATTGAGATGGGGAAATGTAAGTGACTGGAGAAAGACAAGGAATGATCAGACCTGGAACAGACTAACAGGCAAAGAAGAGGTAAAAAGAAAAATCAAAATAGGCTGAGAAACAGATTATGGAGAGAATGGTTGCAGATGGATACAGAGACTATCCACAGTGGCCGAGATGGTAAGACAGAAAAGAGGCCGGGGGTTACTGCAGAGAGATGTGCCTTACTAGATGAGTGGCAGGAGAAGAACATTAACTCTAAGTTGAGGGCTGGCTTTGTGGAATACTTTTCTAGCCTCTTCCTTGGTCAGCCTTATAAAAGAAAGGAAAGAGCACACAAAGCCACTTTGAATTATTCTGGATCAAGCTGAGAGAATGTTATTAAAAACATAATGTGTTTTTGTTATGATTAAGCATAGAATTACCATATGACCCAATAATTTTAAAAACATTTGTCCACACAGAAACTTGCACACAAATGTTTATAGCAGCTTATTTACTCACAATAGCCAAAAGGTAGAAATAGCCCAAATGTCCATGAACTGAGGAATGGATGAACAAAATATGGTATATCCATTCACTGGAATATTATTTGGCCATAAAGAGGAATGGATACTGATGCATGCTACAATATGGATGAACCTTGAAAACGTTATGCTAAGTGAAAGAATCTAGTCACTAAAGACCAGATATTATCTGATTCCATTTATATAATATATCCAGAGTAGGCAAATCTATATATAAAGAAGATTATGTAGTGGTTACTTAGGACTGGGGGAAATAGGGGGATATTGAGGTGATAGCTAAAGGATACAGGTTTCTTTTGGAGTTGATGAAATTATTCTAAAGTTTGACTATGGTGAAGGTTGAACAACTCTGAATAAACGAAGAATCATTGAGCTGTATATTTTACATGGGTTAATTGTATGGTGTGTGAATTGTATCTCAGTAAAGCTAATATAAAAAGTCCTTCATGCTCCCGTCTCAAAATCAAACACACACACACACACAAATATATAACATGTTTTAAATTTTTTTTAAAGCAAAATGCTCAGGACAGATGTTACTGAGAGAGGTTTTTGCCAGACTAGTGTCTTTATATGGATTACATCACCATATCATTCCCCCTCCTTTAAGTAGATTTATTAAAGTATCTAAATCCATAAAACCTCAGTTATCATCACCCTGAGGTGTAAGAGAGGTTTGTCAGAATTGTTAAAGTATGTGTACACCATTGCTGGGTAGCATTTATTTGTAATATTTAAGTAACTGCTTCCCCAACTGCCCTTTTCCAGTACCAAGACTTTAATTTTTGCTGTTCCTGCCCTCCTCTGATCTTTTTATATAGCAAGGACCGTGCAGCAACTACTGCTGGAGCTGCTGGCCTGGCAGGTGGGCACCACCGGGAGGCATGGGCCACCAAAGGCCCCTCCTATGAGGACTTATACACTCAGAATGTTGTCATTAACATGGATGACCAAGAAGATCTTCATCGAGCCTCACTGGACGGGAAATCTGCCAAAGAGAGACCCATTTGGTTGAGAGAGAGCACTGTCCAAGGGGCGTATAATTCTGAAGGTATGAAAGAAGGTAAGAGTAGAAGTCAGTAAAATGGATATATCTGGGGTTCAGTAGAAAATGAATTTGACTTAGAGGGAAATTACCTGGGCACTTCTTAAATAGTTTTATTGATAATTCACTACATTGCTTTATAAAACATTTGCATTATAACAGGAAGTAAGAAATTAAACAATAAGCATTAAAACCCTAACTGGTATACTTACATTGTCCTTCAGCTTAGTTGAAATAACAAATAGACAGCTTTTAAATCTCAATTTTAGATTTGAGGAATTGACATCTCTTTTTCTTAATTTCTTAGAAAAGTGCTATTATGTTCAAGGTGGCCAAATTCACCTCTCCTGTAATATTATGTGGCCCTAACTTATATGCATTTGTATTTTTCTGTACTGGGAGCCATAACTATGCACTAGTACACATTTTTTGATGTTACCTCATAGAAATACCAAAGAGTTTCTGCTACCTGAAATATGTAAAAAGATACCACAATGATTAACATACCTGACGTTTTCTCAGTTTAAGAAGACTGGCAGAACTTTATTCTAGAAAATTTTAGAAATCTCTCTGAGCCATAAAGGGTTAAGAATTGCATAATAATCTTCAGAAATTTGAAAACTGCAAGATTTTACTTCTTTTAATCTAAGTTACTGGATTCAGAGGCTGTGAATGGTGATGGTTTCAAGGTGTAGAAAATGGGAGGCTAAGACTGGACAAGACGACTCAGAAACTGGAAGGCAGAGGTGAGAGGGGGTCTCTGTACCTCTGGTTAGATTTCATCAGTGCAAGAATCTATGTGTCTTTATTCCCACATGATATGTCATTACCAACGTGTCATCTGAGTATGGTTCTTTAATGCTAAAGAATCATCAGTAACTGAAAACCACTTCAGTTTTTTGCCCTTTCTCCTAACTTCTTTTCCCTTCCTAATTACCATGTCTTTACAGGGTATACTAGGCATTGTAAAAGTAGGGTGGAGTTGGGTAGTGAAAATAAAAGCAGGTGATAATTCTAATGTGATTTTCTTTGACGTTTTAGTTCCTATCAGCAAAAAAGTTTTCTTTGGCAATCATACTTCACTTTCCCTCCTGCCCACTGATTCGCCCTGGTGGTGCAGTGGTTAAGTGCTCAGCTGCTGAGAGGTTGGCGGTTTGAAACCACCAGCCGCTCCACTGGAGAAAGATGTGGCAGTCTGCTTCCATAAAGATTATAGCCTTGGAAACCATATGGGCAGTTCTACTCTGTCCTTTAGGGTTGCTATGAGTCGGAATCGACTTGAAGGCAACAGGTTTGGTTTGTTTAATAATGTTTAGTTATTTTGATTGATTGAAGTTGTTTTACATTATACAGTAGTTAGTTTGTACAACTATTTAACAGGTTTGTTATCCCCATCTTGGCTTCTTGCCTGTTTTTGAAGCAACCAAACTTTCTGTTCTTTGACCGTAGATACAAAATTGAATAAAACAAAACTATTGTTAACTAATATTATATACAGTTAGGCTATAAGTTTAACATTCAATGTTTATAATTTCTAAAATAATAGAATTTGAATCATAAGGTTAAATAAGTCTTCTAGTCTACTCAATTAAGTTTTGTGAATATTTCTTTCTATATACAGTAGGATAGTATGCTGTCATGTTTAAATTTGTCTTCATTAAGGTAGAACAACCTCTATCCAGTGAATGTGTGAAGTGAGTCATATTTGTCCTAAACTTAATTTTCCTCAAACTTCAGTCATGTTAATATCTTTAAAAATTTTATAGACTTCATGTTTCCTCTACCCATAGTTTTTGTTTTGTCTTTTTCTGTAATATCTCTAATTGTAGTATACTTTACTTGAGACCAGGAGCCCTGGTGTTGCAGTGGTTAAGAGCTCAGCTGCTATCCAAAAGACTAGCAATTCAAACCTACAAGCCGCTCCTTGGAAACCCTGTGGGGCAGTTCTACTCTGTCTTATAGGGTTGCTGTGAGTTGGAATCAACTTGATGGCAGTGGGTTTCATTTGGTTTGGGTTAGAATATGCCTGACATTTACGATAATGTCATCTACCATCATCATCAAGAGAAGGCTCAGAAATGTCCAGTTCTGGATAAAGTGAAAACACCTTCTCTTTAATCCATTAAAATGGATTAGCTCTAACCCTGGACATTTTGGAAAGTACAGAACTCCTGAGATATTAGCCTTTTTGGTTTTACTTGAGACCCTAAGCACTTCACAAATATTCACTTAACTACAGTAACCCAGTGTGGTAGATACTATTATTTTTTTCCCCTTTTTGCATTTGAGAAAATTGAAGCAAGAGAAATGAAGTAACTTAGTCAAAACCACATAGCTAGTAAGTGTTAAAGTCAGGATTTGAATCAGGGAGTCAGGTTCCAAACAACGCTTTTAATCCTTTTATATATTTTAAATGGTAGTATGTTTGATATTATTATCAGAATACAAAATACAAATGTTTCTCTCAAATGTTTCTTCTATAATATATCAGATGTTTACACAGCATGAAAGGAGATGTGTGGTGAGAGCTTTATTCCTTTTTATAAAGAGTTCAAAGTATATGTAGTTTACCTCAGGAAAATAAAACTGCCATTCCTTTACTCATTCAGAAAAATACTTATTTAGTGCCTAACAAGTGACAGGCACTATTCTAGGTGCATGTAATATATCAATGAGTGAAAAAGACAAATACCTATCATAGTACAACCTACTTCTGGGAAAAGGGAAGATAGAGACAGAAGACGTACACTACTTATGGTAGAAAGTAAATGCTGTGGAGAAAATAGAGGTGGGCGATGGTGACTGGGAAGGTGGGAGTAGGGATGAGTTACAAGACAGTGACATTTGAGGAAATACATGAAAGATAGGAGGGAGTTAGCCATGGATGCCTAGAGGAAAGATATGCCAGGCAGAAGGAATAGGCAGTGCAAAGGCCTTGAAATAGAAATGTGTCTAGTGTGTACAAAAGTACCACGTAGGCCACGGGCTGGAGCAGAATGAACAAAGAGGAAGGAGACAAAGTAAGTGGCAGGGCAGGAGGGAGGGATTTCAATTGGTGTAGAACCTTGTAGGCCATTGTAAGGCTTTTGGCTTTTACCCTGCTCAAGATGAGGAGCTGTGTTTTGATTTCCTGCTTCACCAGCTACTATACTTCGTCCATTATAGACATTATTCAATATGTTGTTATCCAGAGCCCTAAAAAGGTAAACGCTTTTATCATTCCATTTTATGGAAAGAGGTACTGCAGTTTAGAGACTATAAATAACTTACAGGAGTGGTACAGCTTGCAGGTGGAAGAACCCAGATTGAAATCTAGGCTGTATTACTGTGAAAATCCATGTGTTTAACCTTTAGGCTACTTAAGCTCCAGTACGTAAGAAACATTTTGAAGATCTTATGGACAGTAGCCCAAAAAACAGAACCAGTGGACGTCTGTGTTAATTTTATCCCACAGTTACAGGAATTCCCTTTATATTTGAGGATATTAACTTTCTGGATTTTCCCCCCAGGTGGCATAGATATAGACGCATATCAGGAGCACGAGGATGGCCGTGCAGGGCCAGATGATAATGAGGAGGTCATGCGAGCACTGCTCATTCATGAGAAGAAGACTTCCTCTGCCACAGCTGGCTCAGTGGGAGCAGCTGCGCCTGTGACCGCTGCCAACGGAAGTGACTCGGAGAGTGAGACCAGTGAGTCAGAAGATGACTCTCCACCCCATTCGGCGGCTGTGTCTGTGCACCGTCGGGAAGAGGATGAGGAGGATGATGAGTTTGAAGAGGTGGCAGATGACCCTGTTGTCATGGTGGCTGGCCGTCCATTCTCCTACAGTGACGTGAGCCAGCGGCCAGAGCTGGTGGCCCAGATGACACCAGAGGAGAAGGAAGCATACATAGCAATGGGGCAGCGTATGTTTGAGGACCTCTTTGAGTGAGCTTTTCCTCGTTCCTCTAATGCTTGTTTCAAAAAGAAATTCCCCACCTTGAAGAAAAGTGTTTAAGTTGGTTTTCTACCCTTCTTGATGTAAAGCAGTTGTTAATCTTGTGCAAAAAGTAAAGGGAGAGAAAGTTTGATTTTTATGCCAGAAGTTCCCCAGCAAGGCAGGTTGACTCTAAGCATCCCCTTCCCTGCATTTCCTACAGTATTGGACTATTTTACTGTATTTACGTATCTAATTGTTTTCCTTTTTAAGATACATTTTTCTCTCTTGTGAAATGAATAGAGGGAAGTCTGTAAGGTGAGTTCTTCCTGTCCACAGAAGCCTATTACAGTAGGTTACAATTAATTCACTGATCACATCTTTTTTATCTGTTCTGACCAAGTGTTCCAAACAATTCCTTATATTGCTGCCTACCAAAGCAGCTTGCCAATGGGCAAATCATTGATGAGGGGAAAAAAATCCTAAAACTTCACATTTCCTCACAATTGGCGGTGCAGTCAATATGTCAGAGGTGGGGGGTTGGGGTGGGAGTATGTGCAGAGGAGAGATGGATATGCCTGAATCTCATGATTAATATCAATCCACAATTGTGTCTTTAGAACTGACCATACTGGTCGATTCTGTTGTTTTCCTTAATGCCTTTGGTTTGGTGTTGGGTGATAGAAAACAGAAAGTGCGCTTGGTGAAGCCTTATGAAGAAATTAGAAACAAACACGAATTTACAACGAGGAGTCCATGTAAAGTGGTAAAGAGTGGAGAGCATTGGGGGCAGTGCCTTTTGAATGGCCTGAGTGGGTGAGGATTTGGAAATCATTTATGTAAAGCTGAGATTGCCCACCGCCCCACTCCTGCATCTCTTGACACTACTACACATTGTTTAATGAGGCTGTTCTAGAAATTGGCGTAGAATAATTGATTACTCCCCTTCCTCTCTTTCTCCATCATCGAAGGCCTTTTCTGTCTGTCCTTAGGTTCTCATCAGACATGGTATTTTAGAGCATATCCAGTGTATTGTTGAGCATTGTAACCTTGAGGAACATAGTTTGTTTTTGGTTCTGATAAGTAGTATGGTATTATTCCCTAAGGTAGAACTTTAAAAATAAAAAAACCTTTCATACAGGGGTCTATAACAATTGTATTTTTTGTAATATTTTCCCTTGAATTGTAATTTCTAAGTATTTATCATTTTGTAGTACATGCGTGAAGTTAAGATCATACTTTAGAATATCTGAGCCTTGTGTGAAGTGACGTTTCATTTACCTGGGTTGTATTAATGACTGAATATTGACAATAAATCTATTTTATACTGATTGAAATTTGTTAATTTCTAGCTCTGTAACATCTTGGAGCATAATTAAAATGAATTCTCTTCCCATTTAAAAAAATGTTTCAGACCTTTTTTCTCTTAATAATATTATTTAAGATAATAGAGGCAATTTTATGTGGTCTAAACTTTTTCTGCCATAAGTTGCCTTAAGAATAATCTTTATCTAACTTGTACACGTGAGACCATTCAACTTTTAAACCCTATTTTTTAAACTTTCATAGTTATAGGAAGAAGTTTTATTTAAATAAAATGGTAATCAAATGTTAATTTTTAAAATGTGATTATAGGGGAACTGTCAGAGCTCTTTATTTCAATGAATAAATGTTTCTCACTATTTTTTCTTGAATCTAATTCTGTATATTCTACTTCCTGAAGCTACTGTTCTATTTTTCTTTCCCATTACTTAACAGCTTCTTTAAAAATCATGTGTATTAGTTGAGTATTTCTTTCGTCTCCCCCTTGAAATCTGTTTTTTGCCCTATTATCACACTGAAAGAGCTTTCTGTAGTCCTAACTGTTCAACCTAACAGTGCTTTATTCCTCTTACTCTTTGGCCTTTCTTCAGTATTTGATGCTATCAACCCATCCTTTCTCCTGGAAACTTTTTTATTTAGTATCCTAGTCATTACACTGGCCTGGTCCTCTACCTCAGTGGCTCTTCCTGCTTATCCTCCTTCAGACTTTATTTTCCTGTGCTGTATGTGTGGACATACTTTAAGGCCGAGGTTTTTCTTTATTCTTTTTTTTTACCCTGTGGAATTTATGTTATGGATAAATGTCACAAGTGAAGACAAGAGTTTGAATAAGGATATGCATTGCAGCAGTGTTTGAAATAGAATAAAATAGATCGATACCTAGTTGCACTAAATGTGCATTAATCAGGGATTAGTTAAATTATTTTCCCATGAAACCACATAGCCAAAGGGAACATATTGACAGAAAAAGATATCTGTAATATGGTAAGTATAGAAGGATTCAGTTTTTCTACCTTTGTGGGTATTTGTGTATGTGTGTGTAAGTAAAGAAAATAAGTAGCTAACAGTGCTGATTATGTGCCAGACACTAATTTAACTGCTTTACATGTGTTGACTCATTAAATCCTTTATAATAAACCTGTGAAGTAGGTAAATGTGTATAAAGATACATATTCTGTTAATAATTGGGGATGAAAATTACAGTGGTCTTAATATGTTATAATGGAAATATAATCCCATTTTGCAGAAAGACTTAAATGGATGTTTAACGAATTTCATGTAAAAATTACCTGATAAAATTAAAAGCATAGAAATAGAATGACAGAAGCAAACTTTTTTTTTTTATGTTAATGCTAGGGCTTTTAGATGTAGTTTTTTTTTTTTTTTTTTAAATCCTGGGTCTGTCATTTCCTTGGACAAACATCTCTGACCTTATTCTCAAAATTAATAAGAAAATATAATTGAACACATAAAATTTTGGACATTTTTCAATAACTTATCTAATAAAGCAATATCAAGCTCTACTGAGTCTTACCAGACAGGTTTGCCTCTGGAGCAGCACAGAATTCTAGGGAGGAAAGTCAGTCGGTGACAGAGAACCAAAATGAGCCCTTGAGCCCTGCCAGCTATCAGCCTCACTCATAGAAACCAGATTCCTGGCTAGCCCTTATTATAGGCTGTGGTGACAACTCCAGCTGTCCTGTGACCACAGTATCTCCCAACCTTGGGTATAAGCCTGCCCTGTGACAATAGAACTTTTTGATCCTAACATGATGGAGTACTTCTTCAGCATCTTTTCTTTGGGGGATGGAGGGTTTTATATCCTCTGGCTCTAGCTCTCTGCTTCCCTGCTTTTCCATCTCTCTTCTGTACTACCTGTACTGACTTCCCACAATACCACCAACATGTCCATGTAGAAGACCTTCAAGCCAAAGATTCTAGGGTAATGGGCAAGGGCTGGGGGAGTCAGTGAGAGAGGTTTCTGTCTCAGCACTGCATAGTCAGGGAGTAAGATTGGTTAGTGTACATCCCTGCTCTTAAAGAGGCTCTTAACTGTTCTCACAGGTTATCATCCCAAGTATAATCCTGCCTCCAAATCTTGCTAAAATTTCAGCTTCCTTTTCTCTCTTATCACCCCTTTATCTCCAAAGACCTTGAAATGTTCTAAATATTAGGGAAAATAGTTTCTTGGTTTTATTATTCCTTCCAAAAAGGTCGTGAAAGCGCCTATCATATCACAAGTGGCCTATCAAGCTGTTTCCCTAAACAAAGAATCATCTCTCCACCTCTAGGAGTCAGCATGGGAAGTAACTGTGGCTTTAAAGGCTTTTTTCTCTCCCCACTGCACTAAAAAATATCACTCATCATACTTCGCCAAAACTAAGGCAATAGGTGATCCTCAACCTTGTGTCTGCTAGAAAACTGCTTTTCAAAATTCTATGCTTTCATCCTATCTGCTCTTGAATTTGAAGACTTTTTCTCATTTTGAAACTCCTTTTTCCCAAAAACACCTTAAGTAGTATTCAGTTTAACTGATTAAAAGAAAATACTCAGTTTGACATGATCTGCAAGTCAGGAGGCTAGGTTCTAGTCGCCACTATAGCTGACTTGACACTGTGACACTGTTACGTGTAGAACCTTTCTAGGCCAGTTTCTCAACTCTCAGTAATGAGAGAATTGTGCTAGGATCACTTAGATTCCCCTCCAGCTCTAATATTTTGTGGAGGTAATGGTAGCTAGTACATTTAAAACTGAGGCCAAATAATAATAACCAAAAAAACAGAACAAAAAAATCTTCTAATGTGCTATAGCAATTCAAACCAGGTGAAGGATATTTTAATGTGGGTGGCAGGTTTAGGATTGAGGGTGTATCAAGCCACAGCATAAACAATAGCTAATTAGCTTTCTCTTTTCCCCATCTTGTCAAGGTGCTTCATTTCTAGTCTTCTGAATGACTGAGGGAGAAATAATTGAATATAATTCTTTATGGTATTGTTTGAGAGAATTGGACATTGAATTGGAATAAGAGAGAGAAGAGCAATTCCCAGCCAGGACTACAATAGATTTACATATGTTCTTTCTTGTTCTCTTTAGTCCTGAGTTTAAAAAAAGTAACAGAAATAACAATTATAAAACAAATATGAAAATCTTTGGAATTTAGAAATTGGTAGAATTCCACCTTCTCTTTTTTTTAGCATTTTCTTCCACCAAAGTGATTTCACAAGTGTCATTTCTAGTGGCGCTGTGCTACTATCATTTTTTTTTTTTAATCTAAAAATCGCTTGGTGATATGTGGAAGATTTTCAGAAAGGAACTGGCACTATGGTAAATTTACTGTCTGTTCTGTTGGCTCTTTATATTTTAAAACAAACAAACTGAACAAGGTAAGTATAGATACTCTTAAAACATGTAAAGCCAGAATGAGTTAGGAAGAGGTAGGATTCATGAAATTTTATTTCTTTTGAAGTCTTTTTTAAAATAATAAATGTTTTGGTGAAAGTTTACATAATAAATTTGGTTCCCATTTAACAGGATCTACGCAAATTGTTCACTGACATTGCTTACATTTTCCACAATGTGTGAGCATTCTTGTTATTTTCATTCTGGTTGTTCCATTTTCAGTAATCTGGTTTCCCTGCCGGTTATGGATTGAATTGTGTCCCCCAAAAATATGTGTTATAAACCATAACCCCTATACTTGCGGTTATAATCCCATTTGGGAATGGGTTTTCTTTGTTAATGAGGCAGTATTAGTGTGGGGTGTGTCTTAAGTCAGTCTCTTTTCAGATATAAAAGAGCAGATTGAGCAAGCAAGCAAGCACAGATGGGGGAAGGTAGATGCCACATCACATGAGATCTCCGAAGAACCAAGAAACAGAAGCTAAAAAGAGACAAGGGCCTTTCCCCAAAGCCAACTGAGAGAAAACCTTCCCCTAGAGCTGGTGCCCTGAATTGGGATTTGTAGCCTCCTAAACAGAAAATAAATTTGTTTGTTAAAGCCACTTACTTGTGGTATTTCTTTTATAGCAGCACTAGATAACTAAGACAGCTCTGTTCTCATCTTTACTTTGGAGTAATTGTTGACCGTTTGGTCTCATGTAGATGATTTTTTAAAGGAACACAGTACTAAGGGGTGATATTCTTTATTTTATGAGCCAATCTGTTATTTAGCTAATATGTAGCCTCGGGATAGTTTCAGTTCAAGGTTTAAAGAGTACCTCAGGGTCACAGTCTTGGGGAGTCCTCTAGTCTCAACTGGTCCAGTAAGTCTGGACTTTTTAAGAATTTGAGTTTTGTTGTACATTTTTCTCCTATTCTGTCAGGACCCATCTATCGTGACCTTGATCAGAAGAATCGGTAGTGATAGTCGGGCACCATCTAGTTCTTCTGGCCTCAGGGTGGTTGAGGCCCTGGTTCGAGTAGACTGTTAGTCTTATAGACTAGTTTCTTCTCTGAGTCTTTGGTTTCCTTCTTACTCTTTTGTTCCAGATGAGTATCTTCCAGTGGTTGTGTCTTATATGACCACTCACAAGCTTTTAAGACCCCAGATGCTACTCACTAAACTAGGATGGAGTACATAAACTTTATGAACTATATTATGCCAGTTGACCGAATTGTCCCACAAGACTATCGTCCTAAGCCTTCAAACCCAGAAAATCAATCCCGCGAGTTGTTTGGTTATGTCTAAGCAGTATCCGTAACTGTGCCCTCTATGTGCTTTATTATATATCTAAAAATATATATCCATATACCGAAAACAAAACCCGTTGCCGTCAAGTTGATTCTGACTCACAGTGACCCTATGGGTCAGAGGACAACTGCCCCATAGGGTATCCAAGGCTGTAATCTTTATGGAAGCAGACTGCCACGTCTTTCTCCAGTGAAGCGGCTGATAATTAGTCTCTTGTAGTAGGGTTTTATAGTTTTCATTGTTAAGTCTTTTATGTCCTTAGTTAGGTTTATTCCTAGGTATTTCATCATTTTAGGGGCTATTGTATAGTTTTCTTGATTTCCTTTTCAGGATTTTCCTTGCTAGAGTAAAGGAGCCCAACTGATTTTTGTGTGTTGATCTTGTACGCTGTAACATTGCTGAATGCTCCTATTAGATCTAGTAGCTTTCCTGTGGAATCATTGGGATTTTCTATGCATAGGACCATGTCATCTACAAATAGAGATAATCTTACTTCTTCTTCCTTTGAAGATTCTGGTATGCCCCTAACTTCTCTTTCCAAAGAGCCTCATGGCTCAGGTATACCCTTTTTCTTTTTTTGCATAAATGCGGTCATATACATTACCCTTTGCTGTTGATTTATCTTGGAGGTCTTTCCATGTCTGTATATTTAGATCTACTTCATTTTTTAAAATAAGGACTAGATAGAATTTTGTAGTATAGCTGTACGATGGTTTAGGTGAAAATTCTGTTATTGACTGGCATTTAGATAGTTTCTAGTTTTCCACTGTTACAGCAATGTAATGAATTACCCTTATATTTTCATTCTCTTGTTTCAGTATTTCTTTTTTTTTTATAT